AAACGAAAAACAAATTGCTCTTGGACACTAATAAATCATTGGAGATCAAATAAATAGCTGAATGTAGGAACAAGAAGTGTTGCAAGAAAAAATTTGTCTAACTCTCAGCAAAATAACTGTCAAAATTCTCCCTTGAATCGCTTTCATTCCCAAAAACCAATTGTAACCAGACAAACTTAATATTGCAGAAGAATGAAATTAATTGAATGATAATTTTAGAACATCATAGGACAAAAGTGCATTAAACATGGGCAATAATAATACACGTATGTAAGGTTATTAGCAAATTGAATGGATTTTGAACAATCACTACCAGAAAATTTCTCAAGAAGAATATGAAGAAGAATATGGCTAATTTTCCTGTTTTAAAATATGTAAACCAAATACGTTTTTTCGGCACGATCTGAAGATATTCCTCTTCAAGTTTTCTTCTGTCCTTTGTCCAGAGACAAAAAAAACACACCAACGCTACCTATAGTGCCTTGTGCTTGGATATTGAACATTGTGGAGTTGTGAGTGCAACATAAACTCTTCAGTGTGGCCGCAACTAGGTTAGTATTGGACTAGCACTAAATGGCTTCTAAATTTACTTTTGGTTCATTTTCAAGTGATTATATTCCGTTGCAGTTCGCCTGGATTTAAATGGAGGTTGGGTTGGGTGTGGCAAGTAACTACAACATTTAATCATATTGTGCTTTTGCGGAAGTTGGGGGAGGGTGTATAACATTGAACCCTATGGGTGAGAGATAGTTTGCACCCTTTTGGGGTAGAATTATTAAATTGATTGCAATTATTTTATAATTTAAACTAATTGTTTCATATTTTCAAATGTTTACTATTAATACGTACATACATAACTTTATAGGCTATATCTCGGTCTGTTCCAGAACTGCAAGCATGTAACACTCTTTACTACGACAACCGATTTTTCATTTATGATATCGCAAAAAAAAATCCCAATCTAGTGGATTCTTGCAGGTTCTGGAACAGAGCCATTATTGAAAATAATATTTTGTGACTGTTTATTATTTTTTTTAGTTTAGTTTAATTTTAACTTCAAGGTGACGACTAACGACAAAATATATTGAGGGATCATAATTGGTATGGTATTATGGGTATCGAAAAGTACCTGTAGTGGATCTGTGGGTGTTTATGTGTGTGTTCTTGTTTTTAATGTAATACGACTTTTGGTTAGGTGTATCGAGGTAGAAGGGACGTTAGTTATGTTCATGTTTATGTTTCATTTTTGTAAGATAATTTGGTTATTACCACCAACAAAACATTTCCTCAAATGTGCACAAAAACAACAACTGGACGGTTCGGCTTCAGCATTGCACAGCTTTGGAAAATGGAAAATAGAAACAAAAGTGTTGTTAAAATTGCCATTAAATCGTATCTACATCAAGAGATTTTTCAATTTACTTCCAATTGAGATCGGTTCCAATGATGTTCATTTCGACTGAATTATAAATAGGGCCAAACAAAAATAAAATAATGCATTCTGTAATATATAATACGAAGGTTAACTAACTAATACCTCTCGTCATTTGGACAAAACAAAAAAAAAATAATTATAGATATGATCGAATATGGTTACAACAGCACACTCCCTGTGATTCAAATTTTTATAATTTAATGGGGCCTGTTGGAGCCGTATTCGACCCTATTTCTAAATCAACTGGAACAATAAGGAATATACACATCGTTGGTCCTATAAACAAAACTTGTCTTATATCGAATTCTTGATTACGCAAGACATCCATAGAGACAAAGAAAGACATTTGACAAAGACAGAACTAGATACCTACTTTTATGTACATTACATATGCATCAAATCTAATTTGTAATTCAGAAAATAAGACTACAGGGTTCCGAATTCTTAATTCAATGTCACCAGCGGATGGGACTATCCTTGGCGCCAAGGCAATGCTTTATATTTCGTCGGAACAGTTACATTTGACAAACTTAAAGAGAGCAATCAATTAAAGCCCCGCTATATTTCTTTCGACTAGTCATAAATATGTCTCGCATAATTTATATACATGACTTTGACCTTGCCGACGATAGTGTTTTATCCTCTCCTGTTATCGACGATTATGAAGATAAACACTGGCATGGGGCTCCTGCATGTTTCGACTGACCCATAGAAGTACCGGCTATGGCCGATATGGCCTATAGACACCTTTAATGACATACATTCATAAAGAGAGCGTTATACCGGATAGGAATGACAGCTGGGAACATAGAGCTCGGCATTGTCCAACAGTCTTGAAGAAAACTTAATGTTCGTACATTTTCTAGACTGGATGAGCTAATGAATATTTTAGCCTTCCAGGCAATGATAAAAACGAGATACTAGCAAATCGTAAATAGTCAAGGAGTCATATCGAAGAATAGTTATTTTATATTGCAGGACCCCATCTTGCTGCGACAGATCTTATGATTTCGATTAATATAGATATTTTAATGGGGATTTCAATAAGATTTTTTTGATTGTAGAAGACCTATAGCCACATCACATCCTATGTTATGCATCATCTATAGAAACAGTTTAAGTTTTAAACTGTTCCGATATTGTAAAAAAACACACACACATATTCAATCAAATATACAGGGTGAGATGAAAAAACTGCAACCAACTTTGGACTTCTGTCAGCCGAAAAATGGCCCGTGAGCTAAACATATCGCAATATTTCATTCGGCAAATATTGAAAAATTAGCTCGGGGTAAAGCCATTGAAATTCGAAAAGGGCAAGAACTTACACCGCAACAGAAAGAAAATAGACTCAACAGAGCTTAAGAGTTGCTTCGCTTGGCCGAAAGTGGTGAACTGCCGAATTTGGTTTTCTCCGATGAGAAAACATTCGTTGTTCAGCAGTTTGTAAACAAAAAAAATACTTGCCAAAGAGGTCAGCTGAAAATGTGCACCTTCGGTTGGCCGCCAGAACTCAAGCGACGGCCATGATGATGGTGTGGGCCACCATATCAGCCGATGGTCGCTCTCCGCTCACAATAAATGCCGAAAATTATCGCCAAAATATTCTGGAGGGTGTATTAAAGCCTTGGGCACGAAAACATTTTGGCCGCAGTCCTTGGACATTCCAACAGGACTCAGCACCATCGCACTCAGCACGCGCCACCAGGAATGGTTACAAAATGAGGTTCCTCGCTTCATTTCCAGCGCACAAAATCTCCGGATTCCAATCCGTTGGACTATTGTATTTGGAGTATTTTGGAAAGCAAGGTTGGCACTAAAAAATACAAATGTGTAGATCACTTCAAGCAGGCGCTTTGCCGAGAATGGGCCAAAATGCCGCAGAGCAACATTCGGCAGCGTGTGACGGTTTCATTGGTCGTTTGAAGTCCCTAATAGGTATCAAATGTGACCAATTCAATCATTTCTAAACTTATTCTAAAATTATAATTTTTTCCGATATTTTTTGATTGCATTCAATAAATCTAAAAAAAATTAAAAATGATGGCGTTTGAGTTTGTTGCAGTTTTTTTCTCACCCTGTTAACTTTAGACTTTTGAGATATGGAAATGCGTGTCAATTTAAATTAATGTTCGAGTTTTAGTTTACCAAATTGGACAGATCGAACACAATTTATTTACACGGCAGAATTTTTTGTATGTTGGGGAATTTCTCTCCTGAACAAACCAAGCATATACTAAAAATAATCAGCATTATGAAAATAAGTTATGATTGATGTAGTATATATGTATATACTACCTATAAATAATACCGCTATATACTACATTTTTTACAGATGTAATTCGAATTTTTTCAGCTGAAATCCAAGAATTCCAATTATTTCAGTTGTAATTCGAATTATTCCATTTGAAATTCGAATTATTACAATTGTAATTCGAGTTGTTCCATTTAAAAATCAAAAAAAAAAATTTAAATAATTTGAATTACAATTGGGACAATTCAAATTACAAATGAAATAATTCAAATTACAAATGAAATAATTCGAATTACAATTGGAATTTTCGAATTACAAATGAAATGTTACGAATTAAATCAAAATTTATTCGAATTACAAGCGAAAAAAGGTGTATAAACACTACAACTTTTTTAGGTTTAATATACGGACGACATTCAAACCCCACACACACACACATTTTGTGTTAACAACATGACTTAAAATCTATGATTCGTTAGCACCCCCTTTGAATCCCAAAAACGACAATTCATCAGTTATTAGCCACAAAAAATATTAAATAGATGCAGACATGTTTAGTCCATGAAAATGTGTCGATATGAGTGAGCGATGAGTTGAGTTGTGTAGAGAATAGAATGATGATGACGCAATAGTTAGATATGGATCCTTAATTAGATTTTCAAATGTCTAAGGGATTGGGAAGTGAAAGGTGTACACGCACGAGTATAGTTATACAGCAGGGCGGATGCAAGATGCATGGGAGGGTGGAAACATGGGTGGACTAGAGTGCGACATATACCAATGACAAGTCCAATCAGCTGCCGGTTTTACATACAAATGCTATACACAACATTACAAACACATATAACCGCAAACTATGTGTGTTCCTTTTTGTACTGTCTATAGTGACGTTTTGTTTTTCTTCTTCTTTTAAAATCAATCGAAGGAGAGCTATAGATTTCATGGTTGCCCAGTTTGCGGACTCACCCACCCACCATGAATAGTTATGCGTAAAATGTTGAAGGAGAAGGTACACGTGGTTGGAATTATGCCATGCGACGACAAGATTACATACAGACCAAGTATACGTGAGAGACAGAGTGAGATGAAGAGAGATAGATATGGAGCGAGCGAGCGACCGTACAAATATCATGTCTGATCATTGTCGCAATAGGATCTGGTTGAATTGGTATGATCTTCAATATTGCGCGTAGTATTAGGGCGTGCTTGGAGAAAACGCACATATACACAGACGCACACAAACAGAGACAAGTAGAAATTGTTGTTGTTTTTGGTGTTCGATTGTGGTTGAGCAAAATTTCATATACTTACGGGTTTTCTTGGTAACGGCGGTTCCACTACCACTAGCGCCACCACCACTACCAAGCGACGGCGATGAATCGTTACGATTTGTACGTAGGCGAGCTTCGCGCACCTGATATTTAATATTTGGAACTGAGAGCAAACGCTGATCCCGTTTCTCTTTGAGTTTCTGGCGCGGTGGTCGAGTCGGTGGCGCTATATTTGCTGACTCGCCGCCACCGCTAGTCGTAATTGGCAGATTATTGGGCCTTGTATTCTGCTGACCAGCATCAGCATCATTGGCAAAATCTACACGCTTGCTAGGCAAAGATGGCGGCGGTGGTGTATCGCTACTGTGGGCTCGTTCGAGCTCGCCAACATTCACACTCTCTGCGGCAGTATCGGTCACTTCGGCCATGCTACTCTCTGTCATGCTTTCTCTGCACTCGACACCCACTGCAATCGGGTCTTTGGGTGGAGATTCGTCGCTATTTTCTGCCGAGCATTCCGTTTGGGTGTAGAAGACAGAGGAGCTCTTTGGGACCGTTTCACTCTCATTGCTCATGTTTAGACCAATTTTCATATTGACTTTGGATAATTGACGTTTCAAATTGAAGGTCTTCCAAGACATCGACTTTCGCCTGTCGGGAAGGTCCTTGGGTGGAATTGACGTTTCGTCCCGAATCGGACTTTTTGCAAACATGAAGCCGCCACCACTTCCACCACCAACTGCACCTCTTTCCTCCTCCGGTGAAGCGGGCCGAGATGATGGATTCGATTGTTCGGCATTCGATTCGTTTGCCTCGGCTATATACTCGATAGATGGGCTGTCAGGGCTAGTGGTGTCGTGAAGCTAAATCGAGTTTCAATTTTAGGACAAATTAAAATAGAACACGTTCAAAATGGTTTCCCAAAACACACACACATACACATAAATATATATAGAGATGTAGTAGTAGTAGTAGTAGGTAGTACTAGTAGTAGTCACAGTTACACATTCAACTCCCTACTATGTAGATTCGGTTCGACTTTAAATGTTTGGGTTTTAGTTTTGGTTGAATTTAGTTGCCTATCGTTATATTTAGTTCATTCCCAAATGCATTTGTTTATCACAATATACAGAACCAACATACCGATCAATACGATTCGATTGAAAACAAATAAAAAAAAATATATATAAATATATATTGTCGCTACATACACTCTCCAGCTTTTTTGAGTTGTTTACTTAATTCTGTGTGCGATGAAAAATTCAAAAAAAAAAAAAAATGTATCAAATTTGTTAACCATCATTGGAAAGAGAAAGAGAGTTCCTATCTTCTGGACAATGTAGTCATGCCATAGACTAATAAAAATATAGACGAAGGAATGCTCTCACCACTTCTCATCGAAAAAATTCGAATCAGCAGATTTCGTCTATGTCGTTTCACGGGTATGAGTGAGAATATGGAAGTCACTCAATTCCTAAATGTTAAAAATGCTACGAACTGTAGGATGTTTGAAAATTGTTCCACAATAGAATATCGAACAAGTCAAAACTATTAGGTTCGGCCGAGCCAAACTTTTAATGCCCTCCACTATTGGGTAGAGAAAACATTTTTATATGAGAGTATCTGAATTCAAATGTGTTCCACTATAATTGGTTAACGCTGATAAACTTAAAAAAACCATAAAGTGGATGAGCCCGTACCAAAACGGGAACCTCCATACACAATTTTATACTTCAAGGATTGTTATATACTAAATCTTCTTAAATATCAAATTTGAAAGAGTTTCGTGGGTAAATGTGGCTAGGATTATCAAAACACCGTATAACGGTGGCTATCGTTATACGTGTGCTATAGAAAAAGGTGAACCTAAATGTTCAATGTTCGGCCACCGGAGCTAGAACCCAATATGAACTACAAATACCAATTTTTAGACAAATCCGTGCAAAAATGTAGCGAAAAACATTATAATACCGAATATCGGTAGGTACCGTTGTATGGCGGCTATACCAAAACGTGGACCGATATATCTCATTTTCAATACCAATCATCTTAGGCACAATACAAATTATTCTGCCAAATTTTAAAGCTCTACGTGAAATAATGTGGGATGTACCGTGATTTCAACAGGCAGTCAGACGGACATCGTTAAATCGACTTAGAATTTTATGCTGATCATTAAATATATATGTACTTTATGGAGTCTACGACGAATATTTAGGGATGCTACAAACGGGATAACGAATTTAAAATACCCTCCTTTTCAATGTGGAGAATATAAAAAATACGGAAATAACCAAGTACAATTATTGAAAACATTGAAATGTGTTTTCTAGTAGGTCGACTGAGGGCCACCTGCAAAAGAGACCAATTAACTTTCCGTTGTCTTTATATTCATTAGTCTATGGCCATAGTAAAACTATTCTTTTTTGTATCGTGTGGTCTTGGAAAGTACTGAAAATGGTACATCATACATACCCTGGTAGGTAGCAAACAATGAATTTGTCTTAAAATGTTCGCCTTCAAAGTTTGCAACAGCAAGGCTCGTAAGAACTAAATTGCACCAAAATATAATAATACTATCAAATGAAATTTGTTTTCAGATATTTTTTAAAGATATTTTCAGATATTTTTAAAAATTACGTTTTTTTTTTTGAGTTAAAAATAGGGACTTATTTCAAAATCGTAGTATATTAAAAATGCACAGCATTGTGAAAAAAGTCACTTAAATTGAAGTCATTAGAAAGATTTTATAGGGAGTTCCGGAAAATGAGATGTTGTTGTTCTTTTCGTCGAAAAAAATGCTGTAAATTTCAGTGTATTTAGATCCCTATTTAGGAATGATAAAAGGAAAGCGAAGATTGAAGTTTATAGTTCCATAAAATTCCAGAATATTTGCAAAACTCGGAGTTGTTTTTTATTCTCTTTGATAACGGTAGAGTAAAAAATCATTATTTTGTGTCGTTCTGGTATGCTAAAGATACAATGCTGTCATTATTTGTTTGTGGACAACAAAAATAAACAATTATTAAAACCTCCGTTTATTAAAACCTCCGTTTCAAATGATCAAAGGCAAAGTTGCCTAAAAAAGAGAACTTTAAATCTCATCTCAAATTCTTCTATTTGAGATTTAAAAAAAATTAATTCAGATTCCAACAAAAAGCAACTCATTAGATTATGGTGAATTTGTGATTAAAATACCTTACCACCTAAGTGGGTAGGTGTTTCATCCAAACCTAGACTTTGAGATCCATATTCCGATATACAAATTTAAAAAACAATTTTTAGACGAAGGACATATTGTTTTATCAAAATACACTTTGCGTTCGTTTTCTTTAACTCTCTTTTACTGTCCATCTTAAAAGGAAACAAATTTATCACACCTCCGTCATTTTTAAACTTCATGGCACACATACACAGTGACGATACCTATGGAATAAACTCAATTGGCTGGAGATTGTGCTAAACAAACATTTGTCGCATTTAAATTAGTAGTAGTGGTAGTGGTGGTAGTTATTTATTTATTATTATTATTTTTTGAATTGGAATTTATTTTATAAAAATATTTTATTATTATGTGGGGGATAACTTAAGGTATTTAAACACTTTAGTTGGAATAATGAAAAACGTTCGCTCACACTGAAACAAGACCAAATTACAAAATTATCTTCCGTGCACTAAATAATTAAAATAAGGATTACGTTTTATTGTTTTTGGATTTTTTTTATTGTTGTGTTGTTATTGTTTCGTTTCGTTTCGTTTTTTTGTTTTGTTTTCACTTCAGTTAGTTTATTACCATGCTACGAATAACGAAGGTCCCGTTGTTAGATGTGGGGTTGTTTGTTGTTGTTGTCGTTGGTTTATTTTGAATGCAAATGAAATAATGAGTGCCTATATTAGTTGTTGTTCCTGTTATGTCACTTGTATTTGTTAATAACCATTCATTTGTTGTAATTATAGTTTATTTGCTTAGGTTTAATATTCTTATGTGGCCCACAGGAAATGTTAAATGTGTTTTTTAGATTTATCATAATTTAGCCGATTATAAAATAATTGGAGATTTTTCATACCTCCTCCATATTTTTCATTTTTTTTTTTTAATTTGGAATAAAGCATAAGATCAAAACCCCTATGAGAGAATTAAGAGCTTTTGGTATCAACAGATATAGAGAAGATTTAAAGATATTGAATTCGAGATTTGAACTACTAGACCAACTACCAATGTTCGAACTATTTAGTATCTCAGTGCTGTTTAAAAATGTGTTTCGAGAATGATCACGGGAAACACAAATGAAATCTCAATTATAATCAAATAGAGAAAATCCTTCATTTTTTTCCATCACACAAGGAGCTATCAATTGAAGATTAAAAAAAAAAAAAAAAAACAAGGAATTTTAATATTTTATTTTTATTTCATTTTAGAAATAAGTCACCTTAAAATATTCGTGGAATACGTGATTGTATAATTGATGTCGTAACTTATACGACTTGTATCTATTTAGATGTTAATTTGATCATTTACACACCTCCCCGCCCCAAAAAGGGGCTGCTGTCCGATATCCGTAAACTTCCTTTTGGACATTTAAGGTAACCGAAATGGCATATGGAAAAATTATACAATAACATAAATTCCTGTTTTCTTGTAACAAAAATCATATGGTTTAATGTTGTCATGAAAAATATTATTTATTCGCTATAATAACTCTTCATGCATGTTCTCCTGCAATCTACCTTTGCAAGAGTTGGTTCATATGTGTCTACAATTGTTGTCTCAGAAATAACGCTCATTCATTCAAAAACTTGATTTAATGTTTTGAAGAAAAAATTATTACTTGCATTGAAATGGTAAAATATGCATTGCATTGAAATCTGAAATATTTATAGCATGATTATTTTTTCAAGATCAAACATGATTTGATGTTCTATTGAGTCTTGTCGCTCCATCAAAAAGTTTCAAGATTTCAACATGAAATTTTGATACAATATCAAATGGAACATGTACCTTCGTGTAAATAGCAAAGAAACAGATGGCAGATAAGCAGTGAGCCATAGAACGGAACATGAGAGCAGTCCTGTGCTCTCCTTAACAAATAGATACTTAAAATAGGAGAGTTAAAATAGATCCTCTGTTAAATAAAAATTCTCTAAAAATCACACACATCTAGCAAGACAAGAATAAGTCCTAACGCTAATAATCCTACATAAGAGACAGACGCTCACAAATGAACGAGGACAATATGCTCCAAATGGGGTTTGAAAATGACACATTAGCTGATTAGACCCATTCCCACATACACGCAATGTGGTCTGGTAGCGGCTATGATCAAAAATGTAATACATTTTGCCGTTAGTGGGACCTGACCGCAAAGTCATGTCAAAAACAACCTACAAAATATATTACGGTCACTTACGCTACTAACAGTCATCCCTCCTATCTTTGTGCACAAGTACATCTGTACAAAATTATTATATACTGTGCCCCTCACTCTGTTGGGTCCCTGGACACTGCAACATATCTGGCAATGAATCGGCCGATGAATTGGCCAGACGCGGATCTGAGTCAGTAGATCTAGAGTACAGTAGATGTAGAGTGCAGTACTTGGAAGAATTGGAGCTCCCAGTGAAGCCACCCTTATGCCAATTCTTCCAAGTACTGCATAAGCACTATCGTGGGAGATTTTAACAGAACTGGCTAACTGGAAGGGGATATAATGTCTCCAAAAAGATTTGGCTGGTGAACTCTGAAAGGAGAACAAGGTCACTCATATCCATGACGAAGCTGGACTTGAAGCTTGTGGTAGGCCTAATTACAGGACACTGCAACATAAAAGCCATGACTTCCAAATTCTGCCACTGTCCAACTCTTATCAGAGTGGAACAGAGGCTACTGGTAAGCAAATTCTGCCCGGTCATTCTTCAGTTAGTTAGAATACGAAAATGGCTAAGGACGACACGCTGACTACACCGTGGATGCACAGCTACAATACCCAAAGTAACCACTATTTCAAAAAAAAATTATATGTCAGTGTTTACTGGCACCGAAGGCAGCGCCAAAATTACATTTCTCAACATATTAGGATTAATATAAGCTGGGGCAAAATATAAGTCATTCTCATTCCAGTCACTCGAAACTCAAAAGCCACAATACTCTAACTTAACTTGGATGGAGTTCGTGAAGAAAAACTCCATATCTCATATCATTTTAAAACAGCTTTATTTAGAATCATGGGATAAATCCTGTGTTGTTTGAAGCATTAGATTTAGAAGAGATCAAGCATTTCTATTTACGTGACCAATGTTGTACGAAAAGGGGGATATACCTTATATCTTCTGGACGTTCGAACGTAGATACGTTGCGTCTAATAAAACGAATAACTGACGGAACCCCCCTTTAAATAAAAAGACAACTTCAAAGCCTGATTCATAACTATGTAATATGAAACACTTTTTGTGACATGAAGTGGCCGCTGGCTACTTTTAATATTATCTATGTATGTATTCATACATTTTATTGCCACAAATCGCGTGAATATCACAAGGATCATTTTCTCCAAAGAATTCATTCAAGGCACTAAAAGAGTTTTAATAACAAAAAAAAAACAGATTTCACAGGTGATGGTTAGTAGTTCAAATTGATATCTATGTATTTACATCTCCGTTAAGAGGTAGATTTGAACAGAATTAGAATAAGTAGAATGGAAAATAGACTGATAGAGAAGTGAAGTAAGTGAGTAGAATAAGAGGATAGTCTTCAAAGAAGAAGAAGAAATAGAATAGAAGGTGAAGTGATCATTTCTCGATGGTGCAACAACAAAATATTTTTAGTTTGTTTTAAGGACGGGATTTTTGTTACTTGGGGTTTTTGAGAAAAGTATTTTCTTTAGGGGTTTGTGCTTGGAAATATTAAGTAAATTCATGCGGGTTGTTTTCGGCTCACAAACACATAGTACTACAACAATTACAAATGTAGAGATGTTAATTATTGTTAATCTATATCAAATATGCCCTAAACAATACAATTATAACGATTGTGGATGGGGGATTGGGAGGGGCGCAGTAGCTCAACAAATGCATTTAACTTTAAAACAAAGTTCAACTGCTTACAACCCACTTCTGTGTGGGAGTGTCTTCTTAATTAGGCTAGGGCTAAGCGGGTTATTTTCGATTAGGGAATTATGGACACAATCGATGATGTACCTCATATTTGAAAAAAAAAAAAACGGTAACATACATCAGCGTTGTATATGTGGGTGTGTACATCAAATGGTTCATATATCATTGGTTCAGCAGAATTAGGTTATTCAAGCCACATTTATAACAACTGCTAAGATTAAGCAGGCATACACATTTGCATCTGTGTATTAGGTTTAGCAATATTGCAGTAATGGAGGTTTACATTTTCAATTACTTTGCGGAAATAAAAGGGCACATTTATTATTTTCTACATTTCGAAATGTTGTGTTTGGTTTCTCTTGGACTAAGGAGGGACTATGCACTTCCACTTTAAATATTGAATGGAAAATATGACATTAACAAACATAAATATAAAAACAAAATATAAAAAAAAACATTCCAATCGGAAAGGAAGAAAAATGTCGAGGAAAAGTTACATGTTAAAAAAATCATAAATAAGTTACCAATTCAATTCTAAGTATCTACCAATTTTTCAATAATACTAAACAAACTAAATCATAGCGGAAAACAAACAAAGGAGGAGATATATGCATATGTAAGTAGGTAAATAACTAAAAAAATGTTAATACGCACAAAGAAGCAAATTCAATAAACTAAAGTATTACAAATGCTTTTGTTTTTTTTTTTTTCATTTTAAATGCTGCCTTAAAGAACTACAGAATGCAATTTAGAATTTAGAAAATTTAAGAAATATATGTATATAATATTGGTATTGAAAACACAAATAATAACATTTGAAGTAATAGTAATAATAAAAATAATTATAATAGTAGTTATTATTTTTTTTTTCGATTTAAACAGCATCAATTTTACACAAAATCACAATTAAGAAAAGAAAAAAGATATGTCTGGCTTACCTGATCGGAGCTAGGCGAACGACTTTGATCGTCTTTTGTTTCAATGCGTTTGGGACTTTTTGGTGTACGGGAATAGGGATCATGAGCACCATATAGGTCAGGACAAGCAATGCTCAGTAAACAGACTTTCTGTATAATATCTATTATTACAAGTCCGTATTCTGTGCCGTAAGCCATTCTAGAAAAAATAAATAAAATACATTATTAAGAGCGTTAAAAAACACGAGTTCACTTAGCTCGTTCGGAGAATCTGTGAGCAAAATTCATTAAAATGAACATAATTTAATGAACATATTTCTTACAAATTATCTGAGTAACTTAGAAGAGATTTACGATCTGACATTTGAAAAACATGTTATATCAAGCCAAGAGGCTTGCACATAAAAAGGTTTCTGTAGAATTTCTCAAGAAGGTATTCTTATAAAACAATTAACTGGAATGACACAACGACGTTATTACTCACACGCAGGTAGAGTTTGTCCGACGGACTTTGGAGGAGTAGCTTGCCTGGTAACCATTACTCGTATATTCCAAAAAAAGATATATAGACATTTTCACTTCACTACACAATTGCAACTATAATTCAGAAAAAAATGTGCCGTAGTAATCGTGTCTCGCAGTTTGTTATAAGGTATTTTTGGTATGTTCTTGGCAGATGTCGCCTGCTTTACAGTATTACTAAGAATGTTAATTGTCCCTTAAATGAAAAGCTTGCTCAATTGCCGTTTCCAAGACTTTTGTCTTTAGTTGACGACATATCTTTCTTGTGAAACGACCGCCTCGAATCGAAGAGGTGTTGTGAAAAATTTTTCTGTTTATTGAGTTGCTGATTGCGGGTTATTATTTGTTATTTTTATTTTTAGTTATTTCAATGGTTGTTTGTTTTTCATAGAATAACTTTATTTATTTTTTCTTTTATATCCTTATCTATGCTTGTAGTTGCCATATTCGCTCGATTGAACACAGGTAATGATTAGCGATGATTGTTATAATTTTTTTCATAATTTTTATTATGTATTTAGTTCAACTTTGTTAAAGGCTGTTTTTATGTTGATGTATGTTAATATAAGGAGTTGGCTTAACTCCAGTTTAGTAAAAACTCTCTAATTTTTTTTGACATTTTTTCCAGTGGTAGACATTTTTTCTCTGATCCCGGGAAACTATTTTTTTGGAGGGACGGACCCGGGACCGCAGACTTTTGACCCTAAATTTCGGATTCAAAACCCCGACTCTAACCGGATCCAATTACCCGATATAGACAATATAGGTATCGTTGGAAAGCTTATCCAACAAGTGGTCACATGATGGGGTAAGTGGTCACGGTTCGGAAATTATAGTCAAATGATCGATTTCTTGGACCCGGATTTTTTATAAAACCCCCAAAAAGTCGAAAAATAGCCCATTATGGGGGATAAACCAAATTGATGCCAAATTATTACTGACACTCTTACCTTTACAAAATGTTACAATTTGTGCTAATACCTTCTTTGAGTCCAGAGAGATATTCTCTTCTGGGTACGTTTAACCGGCTACGCGAACTAAAGTTGTTCTAAATTTAACAGATGTTGTTAATATCGGGTTAGTGGATTGTCTATATCGGGTAAGTGGATCCGTAATTTTATATAAAATGTCTGTACTTCTCAGTGTGGCAGTTCCTGATCTCTCTTGCCCTCGAAAAATTTCCAATGCTTCGTAATTATTTCAAAATTCAATACTTACAATCCGTATGCGGAACTGATGCATAATGAAGTCACTTGAACAGTTCTTTTATTTGGACCGGTTGTCAAACAGACTAATTGTGACTGAAACCCAGGAGGTTTCCTTTGTGCTCCTGATTTTACACGTAATAAGCTATCCGTCTGAAAGATATAGAAAAATACACACACATATAGGGAATTAACAATCCTGACAACTCATTCTTTAAATGTTACCTTATCGGATTCACTAGATTCGGTTTTTTGAACTTGATGTGGTATAAAATCACATTCAGGACTAGTACCATAAATATCGTCAAAGTTCTCAAAGAGTATTGGAATCTCCAGAACCAGCACTTCTGAAGTCGTTTCAACTTTGCGAAATTTAAATAAAATTACTTGGCCCATAGCACCGGCAACGCACAAACGTCTTGACACTGAACAAAGGTGAATCAATTGAATGGCCAGGGGATGTTCTGTACTGCTGTCCGTTTGTATGGATTTGGATTTTTCAAATATTTTTGCCGTTTTTAATTTATACAAAATCTAAAACATTTACAATTAGTAGCGTTGGTTATCAAAGCTTTTGAATTATACAGGGGAAAAAGTTACCTGTAATGAGCCCGCACCAGAATCCCAAAATTTTAAGGTGCCATCTTGATGACCTGTTATGACTATTTCGGCATAACTACAAGACGCTGGCGACCATTCTCCACCTGATACAGGCCATTCCCTTTCGGAGAAACCAGTTTTTTTGGATGTCGTAGTACGGCCAACCTAAAACACACACACGTACAAACAAAAATATTTACACACTCGGAGCACTAAATATAAATCGGATATTGCAACTATGGATATTAATTGCAAGCCTACTAACAGAGTAAAAAGCAGGAACCAAATCCGAGGGGCAATCAGTTAAGTAAGTGCAATATGTAACAGGTGATTCGTGTAAGTCCATGGGATAAGGCGATTCGAAACATGGAAAACCGGGTGTAAGTAAGTCTATTAATACTAAATCATACTGCAGGAGTACTGCTATCGCATATGGTTCTTGTGTTTCTGTTGAAGCAAAAAAAAATACGGAAAAAGACAAACAAACAAGTTAACATCTTTAACAATGACACATACACACTAGCAAAGACCACAGGTCGTCTCTACTGGCACTTACCACTCGTCCAAGGGTTTTCACAAAGAGTTATAAAATCAACAACAGCATGTTCCATTTCTAAAACGGTGGTGGTTTTCCCCACCATAACAGTGATACAGTTCGATTTTGCTCCCTTCTCCGTTGGCATGCCACCCGAAAAAATCGTAAAGGTTTCTCTGTAAGAAATATGTTTGTGGAATTTCTCTTAGATGAACTCAAATGAAAATGATGTCTTACCCAGATTGAGAGGCTTTCAAATCAACTTTGAAAATGGGATTGCATTTTTCTATTGTACCCTCTCTGGATGTTTTGGCTAAAAGAGAATGATATGAAAGAGAAGAGAATGATAAGAACGGATTAGAACAGCAAATGAATAAGAGACTTACCATGAGGATATACTAAAGACTGAGGTTTTGGTGTCGGCCTCATGGGCCATGAACATATGGAACCATCTTTATGCGAGGATACAAAGTATTTTCCTTCATAATGCCATGCTATTGACTTGACTGGATCCGAAGAAACCCATCGTATTTCGGCACATTTGCCCTTCAAATCCCACAGGACCAGCAAACCGCATTCGTATGCAAGTAATAACTGAAAAATATTCCAAAGCAAGCCATTATGACCAAATTAATAAAAATCGCCATAAAATTAACTGACCTTATTTGCATCTATTGGATTATCACATAATGCAATCACAGCACCAGGATGAGTAGCTCTACCCCTGAAATGAAGATAAATCGAAAACAAATCTTTTAGAACCGATTTTCTTTTGCTGCACAATTTACACGTACAATTCAATTGCTTTGTTCCAATTAATAACATAACCGCTAAGGGCAAATGTGTCTATATTGACCACATGAATGTTGCCTTTTTCTGTGCCGACATACAACCATTTGCTTGCCACTGCTAAGTGAATGCATGTTACTCTGTAAGAATACGAGAAAAGTTTTATAAAATCAATAGATAATTGAAATAAATTCGGAAATGAGAAGGAATAATAATCAGTTGAGTCAATATTACAAAAGGTCATATGTCAATATAAGTTTAACACAATTCAATTTAACACAATTCAGTAGACTTTTTTCGCCATATAGGGTAAGTGTACCAGAAGTCGGCACTTTTAGGATTTTTGATTTTTCAATCTTTCAACATTCTGAGTGAAATCTTTCAACTGCTAAAAAATAAAGTTGTTCAGATTCCAAATTTTGTTTAGTTTATTAAATTGGCAAAATTTGCAATTTTACTAAAATAGTAGTTTTTTGCCAGTAGTCGACACCATTTTCCAATGCTCGGCATGTCTATTTGCCAGTAGTCGGCATATGGTATTTCAGTAAAAAAATATTATTTTGTATACTTTTATATATATTTTTATTTCAAATAGTATAAAACAATGCTATATTAATAATTTACAGTTTAATCCAGAATTTGAAATTAATTTCGTTTTAAATAGTGTTTTATTTAATTATCATTACATTCAGTAACGTATAGATTTTCAATTAAAATAAAAATGTGATTGAATAAAAAAAGAAAAAAAAGTGCCTTTCTTATATTTAAAATTTGTGAATTGATATTTTTCTTTAAATAGCCAACATTTTTTTTTTTTCAAAAATGCCACCGCTATCTAAAACGTCAAATAGCTGATTTAAAAAACCTACTTAATTTTGAAAAGTTGGTCAAAAAGCACAAATAAAAGCAACTGCCAACTCAAAACCATTTTTTTATTTGAGTAGTTTTTGGATTATTTTTTAATACTTTCCTCAAGTTTTGGTGAAATTGGTCAAAAATGATATTTTTCTAGTAATCGGCACCCCCTGCCGATTACTGGCAAATCTCTTTTTTTCTGTTCCTAATGTCGGCATTAAATAATAATACAGAAAAATGCTTGATTTGTATATTTTTTAATTATAAAATGATCTTTAGACTGTTATTTACTATTATAAAATATTTCTGATTCCAAAAGTATTAAATTTAGTTTACTTAAATCGATTATTAAGTTGACGCCACCACTAATTTTTTCTTTACAAACAAGCACTATCACACGCGTTGGAAGACACTCACTGACGAAAACCGTTATTCTCCCGTAATAAATGATCGAAGCTCATTGTTTTTTTTTTACAGAAAGAGAGCAGAGAACACTGTTGACTTTTTTTACAATTATTTCATTATTTGGTCAATTCTATTCTTAGTTATTTATGTCTTTTAATGGGCAAAAAAAAAAAAAAAAAAAAAAACTCAGCTATGTTTCACTTTTATATGTTACGCTGTAAAACAAACTCAGAGTGGAGAAATTAATTGGGCGATGGCACTAGTTAGTGGATCCGAATTACAAAAGGGTTCCCAGCATTTGATATAGATCTTTGAAATTTGACAAAAACATTATGAATCGTTTTGGAATCTTTGATATTAAATATGGGTCATATCGGTTCATAGTTACCGTAAAATGCCAAGTATTTAATTTAATCCTTAGACGAATGATTTTAATAATTTGTTGTTGTTATTGTAGCAACTCATACTGCTGTGTTCGATCTGACTCTTCTCAATCGGATTCTGCCTTTTAGTCCAGTCTCAAATAGCATGCAACCTGTACGGTTTGGGTCCACAAGAAGACTGGTGAGTAGGTTTGGCTGGATAGCGAAAAAGGTGCAACGTGTCATGTGGTCCTGTGCCACAAACTGGACAGATGTTCTGCACATCACTGTTGATCCGGGTCCAATAGGAATTAAGGCCGCTGCACCATCCGGATCTTAGTTGAGCCAAAACTACTCGGGTTTGTCGGGGCAGCTCTCGCTCTTCAGGTGCGATGGGAGGGGGATGGTGAATACAGATACGGATACTGAATAGATCATAAAGGTCTTTCCTTACGTGCCTGGGCGGAGGTTGCCTATCCACCAGATAGTGATTCGGATGGCTCTATCGGTAACACCCAAGCAGGTATTGCATTGACAGCATTTTATTATGCTGTCGCGCCGCTAAGACCTTCGCCTCCACATGTAGATGGTCGACAGATGTCATGAGGAGGCACGCTGTTGTGGTTCTAAGGGGGGACTGAATATTTTTCCACTGCGTAGCACTAACGTTGACGGACCACACATTTCAATACTTTGTGTTAATCCTCGATAGCTAATGAGGCATTTCAATGGTCTCCAGAATCTTGAACTTAGTTACTTGCCTCGAGGAGAGGAGCCAAGGTATTACTATAGTAAGGAAAAAGTTTAGTCCGATTATTCCTTAGGGAGCATTGTATCTTTTACAAATTGACGTCTTTTTCTGCAATTTCGAGTTTTATGTTTGCGAAAGCTTAACAACAATAATTATAATTTCGTTGTCTTCTCTGGCATATAAACAAGTTTTTTTAGCATCCTACTATGTACACATAAAACCTCTTTTATCAATTAAGTGTACGTGTTCGGTTTTCCATATGACCATATGGCTACAGAGGGTACATATCATTTATCGAAATTGCGGTTTTAGAACCTAGGGCCAACCTAGGGGTGGACACCCCTAGCTGGTGCGCCCAATTGAAGGAAGTATCCAATTTTTTTGCCAAACATGGTACATCATAATGTTATTGTCAAGCTTAGATCGAGTTCGGAGATAAGCAATATCGGTCTATTCTTCTGGTACCTCCCACACAAAAAATCAAATTTTTCAAGGAAAATAATTTACCTTATAGTATAATAACCTAATTTTGTGCAAACTTCAGGTGCGAAAACTAACAATAGCACTTCATCAAGTACCTCCTCCACAAAGGATCAAAATTTTGAATAATTATAATTTTTATAAAACGTGAAAATGAGAATCGTATTGTCTTAGAAATTTCGAACATATCACTATTGCTACCAACGCAATCTCTGGTATGAAGAACACATAAAACGAACCAGTCCTACTGATACCTACCCTACAACCGGTCAAAATTTTGAGTAACGAAACTCTCATAAAATATCTCCCTTACAAATGTTTGAATATCAAAACGCTCATAAAATGCGAAATAAGCATTCTTGGTATATCCAAATATTTCACTCAACCAGATGTAAATTTGAAATTTATCGGCGCGACGTAATATTTATATCAAACTCATGTCAAATGCGACATAAACAACATTGACCCACTCCCTCAGAACCTCCCCCATAAAGGGTCAACAGTTTGAATAATCATAACAAAAGTCAAAGTATATTTACATAAACGGTCTGCGGTCAGATAAGAAAATTGTTCACTTGTTTTTTTTTTAAACTTTGTAGATATTGACTCCTTGCTCAGAAAGACTGGGTCCGCAAAATTATACTTTTAAAACTTTATAAATATTTTTCTTATTTCTAAATAATATTTGTAACGCCAGTAATTTTTTTTGTTTTCAAAAATTTAATAATGTGACACTACATTTTTGGACAAGATTCGTACGATTCGTTTACCCCATGTATATAAATATGATATATATACATGGGGTATACGTATGTATGATAGGAAATGGTAATACAATAGTCCCTTTTATGTTGTTACTTTCGTACGAATCCTCTCCAAAAATGTAGTATCACATTATTAAATTTTGGAAAAATATATAAAAAGTGTTTCCTTTTGTGCAGGCTTAACTAGTAGTTTCCCTTTTAAGAACGGGAAAATGGCGATTCAATCGACTCAAGAACAGAATTATAATTAGAATCAAAAGTTGTTTTATTTAAACTGGTTAAACTGTATTCTAGGTAATGTTGGGAAAAATCTTGTCTTAGAACAGCATTTAAATTTTGAAAATTCCTGTCTTCAACTGTCGTAGACTACCATTCAATTAGTGGATTAATGAACATGTGCACAAACTAGAACATATTTGTAGAACACAATGTCACACATTTTTACGCACAGAAACACAAAACGTTTACCATTGCGAGAATGGTGGGTTATGGAGGTTTATTATTTCTTCTCTTTTGTTTATTTACAAGTAGTTTCCATGTAAACAAGCCCTCCCAAGTTATAATAATTTTTATATTACGCCCCAACTTATTATCGCAGGGTAAAACAATTAACATCAAATATGACGACGTTGTGACGTTTCTCAATGACAAATATGCGTAGTAAGTCTCTCTGTTACGAATATTTGTATTTGGAACATACACCCTCCTGGCGGTCGCCTATAGGTCATTAATATGTAATTACGTTCAATCTTTGTTGTATCTTAAAAAAGGTTGCAAAGTTCACATTGCCATTGGCTGTGGTCGTGAAATAAGCAATCGTATAAGAAATATCAATTATATCACAACGCCCCAATGCTTACCTAATAACCAACAAAAATAACATGAAATGTTAGCTAAAATTTCGGTATCCTTACGAAATAATTAGCTTCGTTTTTGTCTCGCCTTGTTGGCGCTTTAATAAGGACACTTAGCATTAAATTAGATCCTGTTCTACATTTGTAGGTAGTTGCTTTTACTATTTCGGACCAACGGAATTTGTTGGGCATAATTTACCTAAAAGGGTTTTTTATTCTGACTTTTGGCGTCGATACAGACATTGCCCCTAGAGAAGCAAATATAAAATATCTGTAAAACTCTACATATTCGGTGTAATTGAGAAGGTGAGTCTTTACATGTTTCTAAGGTAAACATCTAGCCTTAGAAACTTGTAAAGACTCGCCTTGTAAAGACTCAAATATTTTGAAGAAAATATATATTTGTACCAGATATGTTCTCACTTGTGGCAATTGAAAAAGATTAAAGCCAACATTAGAGCAAAGATGACTCACAGCTCTAGGACGAGATTTTCTTTAATTCCTGTTGAGACAACAATTCTAAGGTTAAACGGAATAAAGCTAACAAAACGTTGAACTAAAGATGACAAAAATTACTCGTATTTACTTCTTAAGCTCCTGATCATATCAGCCAATATAAGAATATACATACTCGCCAAAGAAAGAGATTCAATTCATTTTTATTTACCAGATCCCTGCAAATATTAACGATAATTGGCAATATTCAAAATCAATGGTTTTGTTATCATCTTATGTTTCTATCAATATGTCATTACTACTACATGACTTCAAGGAAGATAAAAGTCTGACAAATTATGTTTTTCACAAAACCATTTCTCCAGTCCCATCGCTAAAGTAACTTTTAGTAGTGTCGAAAGTGACACGCCTGGTAGTCATTCACAAGTGGAACAGTTTCTTTATTCATTGTTATATTAGAAAGCGATATCACATTCCTATCAGCAATCGCTTTTAAGTAAAGTTTTCGTCACCGAGTCTATAAAAAATATTTGAAGGGATGGAATGCGATGAGAATACAAGTGGACATTTCTAACGCTGAAAAAAGAATTCCAACAACTAATTACACCAATGCAACCTAGTGGCCATTTTCGAAAACATGAAAACAAGAAGCAAAGTCTTCAAGTCGTTAGCCGACCGCAATTGGGGCAGAACAAACAGATCTTCTTAGTCCTATATAATGTAATTACTGCGTCCGTGGTTAGCCATAGAGTTTCAGTATGGCCGGCGAATACTAAGATTCAGAACAATATTTATTGTAATTCGAGAATTTCTTTTGAATAATGGGAATTCCAAATTGAATTCTTGAGTTACGGTTGAAATGTTACGAATTTCAAAGGGAATTCTTGAATTATAAATAAAATGTTTCAAATTACGTTGCCTAACAGGCGACGAAGAAGTTTTTAATTGTTAGCTGGAAACTGCAACGAGGTGACCCGTCAGTTTTACAAGTCTATAATGTAGGTTTGACGAGTATCATTGGGTCTTAAGATATAGCAAAATAGTAGGGGAATTATATTGATAAGCCCCTCAAACCACCGATAAGCTATTGTAGCAGATGCTTCGAAAAGACTCTCATCAAACAAGCTGGTAGGAGATGACACTTGAAACCCGGTTGCAGGGTATCAAAAGTCATCTGGCCAGGAATCTCAAGAAGAAAAATCTGCTCCCTACTATCAATTACCAGGTCAGACATAAGAATAGCGGTTGGCATATTGACGAAAGGCAGCACAGGTACCCTACGTGAAAATTGTAAAAATGTCATCCTGATCACTGATGACATTGATTATGAAGCCGAGGTGATAAATTGGAGATAGAGGCCCTAACGTTTTCTAAAAGCATCACCTGGCTATCTAAACTACCCTATCATTGCAATGTTGGATGGATGGATATTTTGTATTCGATACAGACAGAGGAAGCTCAAACATCACACTCCATCCTACTTTCTCAAGACCGAAATTTTGAAGGATCAGTTGAATATGAAATAGTACTTAATATTTGTGTTAATAGTTTTGTGACAAGAGCGGATTTCGGTTTCCTTGCCACATCTCTCAAAAATTAATCACGAAAAAATGAAAATACAATCATAAATGTCAATGTGATTTTTTCCTCTTACCTTTCTCGTTGGAATTTTAAACTTTGTATGACTTGAGGTACTTTTTGGCGTATATTCCACAAATGTATTGTATCGTCAGCGGTCACAGTTACCAGTTTGCCATCGTTGACAATAAATTCGGATAAAATGACGGCGCAAGCAGATTCGCCTTCATGACTAACATGGGTATCCACGCCAGGACGTCCCAATCTTCGGAAAATAATCAAAACAAAACCGAAAATAAAAGGAAAAATACATAAGTAAATGGAATCGCATAATTAAGGCTCTACATACAATCTTAGACTGCCCGATTTGTCGCCAATGACTAACAGCCGTTGTACAGGATCAAATGCGAATGCCGATGGGGAATAAGGAAATCCATGACGAAAGGTCTAATCGATTGAAATTTAAAAATATAATAAATTAATAATTAATAAAGATCTTGAAAGATGAAACAAATACGATTATGCAAAACAAACACAAAAAACGTTGGTTGTCTTAAAATCGGCCATAGCCGCGTGTGTCTTATGATAGCCTAGTTCGAATCACTACCAAATAAAACAAACGCCAACTATAGCCAATTTGATTGGAGTATCGCTTTTCTCACACACACATACATACATATGTGACTTTGTTTATATTTTCACTTTGAACACAAACCGTTCGCAGCTCTCCTACCTTCTTAACCGCAAAATGTTCTGGTCGTAGTGTTTCATGAATCTCCTGCTCTTGTCGTGCTGTTTGTGGCTGAACCGTATTTCGAAATCCATCAAGAACACCTCTGAATGTGAACTTTTTCATTTTTTACATATAGAATGCGGTTGTAGAAAATATGCTGTGTAAAGGAATTTTTGTTGCTGCTGTCTTCTTATTTGGTTGCTCTCAATTTTGATAGTAGCTTCGTCACCAATCTTACAACAAGTAATCCATTTGTCCCTGAAAATATAAAGGGGGAAACAAAATGATAAATAAATCGACGAAGACAATTTTTAATATTGTGAAATTATAAAAAGACAAATTTTTGTATTGGTGAGCTTTGGCAGTCCAATAGCACTTATATCGCAGTGAACTGAGATTACCCAGGAAAATTGTGGAGCGGCATGTGTCATTTTCAGCATTGCAAATAATGAAGAGGGTATCATTATTAGTAGGTCATACAAAATGGCAAATATACACGCTCTCCGTTAATGGCAATTGTTAATGAGTTGTTATAAAAAAACTGCACTACAAAATTACTTACTTTCAACATACCAAGTAATATGTAATGGAGACACAGAGTGTACATATCCGACAGCAAACAAACCAAAATCTGAAAATATGACGAGTTTGCCGACGTTGATACAAATCGTTAAACGACGATTTATATTCGTCGGAAGATCGCCAGTTTAATTCATCCATGAGGCAAACAAAACAATGGTGTGTTGAAATAATTGAACTCTGTAAACCTATTCTGTAACTTTTAAATAATCTTGTTATTGTCACAAAAACAAAATAAACAAATGATTCTTTTGTAAAATAAAAGAGGAATGAGGAAATCGTTAAAAAGTTACAGAATAGGGTCCTTACAATATAACAACTGTTTTTATCGATTTTTTGATACGGCCAAAACGTGTTCATCGAAAGAAGATCTAGTAGATCTAGCGAAAATGGACAATATGGGTCCACTCCATCAAGTACTTCCCCCACAAAGGGTCAAGATTTTGAATAATTATAACTCTTATAAAATGTGATTCAAGAGTCCGATTGTCATCAAATTACACATATCACAATATTTTTATTAACTCAAGGTGTAGAATGAAGATGGAATATATTGGCCCCTCCCTCTAGTACCTCCCCCACAAAGGGTCAAAACTTTGAATATCCATGAAGCTCCTGAAAATCCGATTTTATTCAGACTTGGCAAATCTCAATATTTCTATCAGATCACTACCATCTTTATGGTAGTGATCGAACCATTCCTTCTGGTACCTCCCCCAAAAAGGTTCAAAATGTTGAATAACCAAAACGATCATATAAATCCAAAATAAACATTCAATTCTCATCAAATTTCACACATGCCATTATTTTTACTAACACAAGATCTGCTGTAAAATTTTGAAAAACAAAATACATCGAAATGAGCATCCAAATCTTTTCAAATTTCACATATACAAACATTTTTGCTAACACAAGATCTGACGTGAAGATGATATATATCTGCGAACCCCTTCTGGTACGTCACCCACAAAGGGTCACAATTTTCAATACTGTTATCTGTCATAATTTGCGAAACAAATCAGCGATTCTTTACAACTTGCTATATCTAAATATTTCTCTCAACCAGAAACCTGAGATGAATATGGAATATATGATTTCGCATAAAATTGGATATAAATGTTCGATTTTCTTGTAATTTTGTCCATACCAATATTTTTGTTTGTATTAGATGGAGCATGAAATAATGGAATACTTCGGTCGACTAAATTTGGTACCTCACGCACATTTTAACATTTTCTAAAAAATATAACATATTTTCTTCTTCTATATATATATATATCTATATATATAAAAGAAAGTTGTGTTAGTTACTACGCTTATAACTTAAGAACCGCTGGACTGATTCTAACGATTCATACAAATACGGAATTGTCTCCTGTCCGAAAAGGATAATATACAAAAAAATCGCGTAAAAATGTGATATATTAACATTTTCATTTTGACTTTTGAATTGTACAATAGTAATGTTTTATTTTGCATGATTTTTTTCCATTTTGACTTACTTTTTTCTAATGTACATTTGTAGTGTTTTTTGTATTTTATTTTTGAATTCGAATATTAATACCAATTTATTTAATTGACTTGATTTCTTGAGAACTGAAATAGATGGCGGGTTACATGGAAGTGCAGTACCGAATTATGTGGTGGCGTAACGGAATAGACGATATCGAAATAATTTAACGCGGTCACGCCAAAGTTAAAAGATAAATTATTTTTCAAAATCGCTAAAAAATCAAGAAAAAGAGATCTTATTGCAAAAACTCTCAAATCAGGAACAAATCGAAAAAAAATTTCTATGGAATCGAATTTTAAAATAATAGTACATTCTATTGACAAACTTAAGGAGGATCTTTAAATATTTGCTGTAAAAAATCAGAAAACAAGTTGAAGATTTTTTCAATTTGTTATTCTTCTTTTGTCAATTTTTTTCAATTTGTATTATCATATTGAATTCAGTGGATTTTTTGTGAACAAAATAATGATTTCTATCCTTCCAGAAATTTTTCCCAAACATTCAAGATAACTTAAATCGCTTTTGCAGGTCATGATATCGATCATAACTCACGGATAAGGGTACAAACCGATTTCATATTTATATATCTATCGTATGATTTAAGCTATTTTTGGGGTCATGCCCACTTTTTTCATTTTTGGCCTTATTTGGCAAAATTTGAAATTTCCAGAGTAGGGCCCATATTGGTCTTGACCACATTTATCAATTGATTTGGCTAAAAAATTGTATATACGCTACCCTGGTGTATGGAACCATCATACAGATAATTGTCACCTAGGAATTTATTTAAGTAAAGTCCCCACATTGGAGTATCCCCAAGTCCACTTTCACATCTAATGTGTGTTCAGAAAAGAAAATTTTGTATTCTATTGAATTTGTAACCCCCAAGAGAATATTGGTTGAGAACATAGATTTGGGATGCACATCTATATGAAATAAATTATAAAAACATGGACAAACTACAAATATAAGAAAGTAGCACGGGACAGAATATTTGTTGAATCGTCGTTGAATTATACTATGATAAAAATATGGACTTACAACTTACAATTTACAACCAACTTACAATTTAAATGGCAAATGAAATTAATTCCCATGGGTGTAAAATTGCTATATTTTTGATTTGGTCTCTGTTTGTCATATTGGATTATAAGCGGTAGAAGAAAGTTTTCAATGTAGGTCGATATTTCGGAGTAGTGCCCATGTAAAGGTACCTCCTGATTTTACCATATTTCAAAAGATTTGGCTAAAAATGTATATTTGGGTGGAATCTTACACAAAAATTGCAACATATCTACAAATTTTAGAATTTTCTCCATATAATAGTACCCCCTCAAGTCCACGGCTTAAATATGGGTATAGGTATTTTAAAACACTTTTAATCGACCAGTACGTGAACAGATATCAGTCATATCTGTGAATAATTATACTTTGACAAGTATGCCTAATAGACAAAAACTACAGGCCGGCAACGCGGACCGGGCCAGCTAGTATATATATATATATATATATATATATATATATATATACTAGCTGGCCCGGTCCGCGTTGCCGGCCTGTAGTTTTTGTCTATTAGGCATACTTGTCAAAGTATAATTATTCACAGATATGACTGATATCTGTTCACGTACTGGTCGATTAAAAGTGTTTTAAAATACCTATACCCATATTTAAGCCGTGGACTTGAGGGGGTACTATTATATGGAGAAAATTCTAAAATTTGTAGATATGTTGCAATTTTTGTGTAAGATTCCACCCAAATATACATTTTTAGCCAAATCTTTTGAAATATGGTAAAATCAGGAGGTACCTTTACATGGGCACTACTCCGAAATATCGACCTACATTGAAAACTTTCTTCTACCGCTTATAATCCAATATGACAAACAGAGACCAAATCAAAAATATAGCAATTTTACACCCATGGGAATTAATTTCATTTGCCATTTAAATTGTAAGTTGGTTGTAAATTGTAAGTTGTAAGTCCATATTTTTATCATAGTATAATTCAACGACGATTCAACAAATATTCTGTCCCGTGCTACTTTCTTATATTTGTAGTTTGTCCATGTTTTTATAATTTATTTCATATAGATGTGCATCCCAAATCTATGTTCTCAACCAATATTCTCTTGGGGGTTACAAATTCAATAGAATACAAAATTTTCTTTTCTGAACACACATTAGATGTGAAAGTGGACTTGGGGATACTCCAATGTGGGGACTTTACTTAAATAAATTCCTAGGTGACAATTATCTGTATGATGGTTCCATACACCAGGGTAGCGTATATACAATTTTTTAGCCAAATCAATTGATAAATGTGGTCAAGACCAATATGGGCCCTACTCTGGAAATTTCAAATTTTGCCAAATAAGGCCAAAAATGAAAAAAGTGGGCATGACCCCAAAAATAGCTTAAATCATACGATAGATATATAAATATGAAATCGGTTTGTACCCTTATCCGTGAGTTATGATCGATATCATGACCTGCAAAAGCGATTTAAGTTATCTTGAATGTTTGGGAAAAATTTCTGGAAGGATAGAAATCATTATTTTGTTCACAAAAAATCCACTGAATTCAATATGATAATACAAATTGAAAAAAATTGACAAAAGAAGAATAACAAATTGAAAAAATCTTCAACTTGTTTTCTGATTTTTTACAGCAAATATTTAAAGATCCTCCTTAAGTTTGTCAATAGAATGTACTATTATTTTAAAATTCGATTCCATAGAAATTTTTTTTCGATTTGTTCCTGATTTGAGAGTTTTTGCAATAAGATCTCTTTTTCTTGATTTTTTAGCGATTTTGAAAAATAATTTATCTTTTAACTTTGGCGTGACCGCGTTAAATTATTTCGATATCGTCTATTCCGTTACGCCACCACATAATTCGGTACTGCACTTCCATGTAACCCGCCATCTATTTCAGTTCTCAAGAAATCAAGTCAATTAAATAAATTGGTATTAATATTCGAATTCAAAAATAAAATACAAAAAACACTACAAATGTACATTAGAAAAAAGTAAGTCAAAATGGAAAAAAATCATGCAAAATAAAACATTACTATTGTACAATTCAAAAGTCAAAATGAAAATGTTAATATATCACATTTTTACGCGATTTTTTTGTATATTATCCTTTTCGGACAGGAGACAAT